GGTTTGATAGCTCTTGACTATCTTTGAGAAAATTAACTTGGACAAAAGCTTGCCTGTCCAGCTTATACTGTTGATCAAAGAACCTGAAACAGATGGTGTATACAGATAAAAGCATGCATAGGTGGGTTTGAACTGCCAACTTTGTGGTTATCAGTCCAATGCCTTTCCAGACCTGAATGGGGGATAAGGGCTATAGTCTCGGGTTCCTCTAGTCTTATTTCTAACCAGTTAACCTCAGTCTTTTTTTTTTTAATTTAGAGTTTTGTGCCATATTTCCCCCACTCTAACTAGGACCCTATAGTGTAATCTCTTTCAGGGTAGTTGGTAGTGGTAAACTGGCCACCATCTAGTTCTGGGCTCAGAGTTATGAAGACTGATGTTCAACTGTTCCATTCATCCTCTGGACTATGTAATTCCAAGTGTCTTCCATTTTTATCACTATGGAGAAACCAATAGTTGCACCTAGATGGCCGTTCATAAGCTTCTAAGATCCCAGTCTCTACTCACCAAAGTAAGATGAAGAACATTGTCTTTGTGGATTATGTTGTTGATGTTGTTAGGTGCCAACAAGTCAGTTTTGACTCATAGCTACCCTATATAGGGTTTCCAAGGAGCGGCTGGTGACTTTGAACCACTGATCCTATGGTTCAAACCAACCTTGCAATCTAGTGCATTTCCCCACAGCACCGTATAGGGACTATTGTTGTTGTTGTTATGTGCCATCGAGTTGGTTCCGACCCATAGCGACCCTGTACAGGGTTTCCGAGGGTGTAAATCTTTACGGGAGTAGAAAGCCTCATCTTTCTCCCGCGGAGCACCTGGTAGTTTCGAACCGCTGACCTTAAGGTTCGCAGCCCGATTCGTAACCACTACGCTACCAGAGCTCCCTATAGGGACTATAGATGGTTGAATTTTTGTTTTTCTTGAACCAGGTGGATTTCATTGGTATTTACCTAGCTCTCATTGGCATCAGATGTTCACATAAAGTCAATTTACTTACAGTTTCATTTTCTAAAAGAAAGAGTTTGTCTCAGATTTTCACACCATATAGATTTTTTCCACTTAATAGTCTACAAAATTCTGAACTTTGATACAAAATTTTGTATCTTCATACTTTTCTTGTTAATATTTATTATCCCTTTCTTGTGTTTATAAACTGCTTTTGTAGGCAAGTAGATTTGACATTTGGGGTGGGCTCCTCTTTTGAAGAGTTTCACATGGCAGAGTTCCACATCACTAGGATAGGAATGAATCCATTTTTGTGTCAGCATTTAAAATAATATTCAAAACAATGCTGTGACCTTCATCTATGGAATCAGTAGCTCAAAAGAGGGAATAAATCCTTACAGCAAGAATCATTTCCACCCCCTCCACACACAGAGTAGACAGGGATGGGCAACTTGGACATTGGCTACCCAAAATGGGGGGCGGGGGGCTACAAAGGCAAGAAGTGACTGGCTTACAAGCTTTCAAGAGGGAACCTAGATCCAGAGGGCCTGGAGGAAGGTAGACTCTCCAGTGAGTAGTATTCAATCTGACTAGGTGGGGCTGATGCAATGAAATGCAGACGGGCCTCTTGTGATACAATAGTGAATAATTGTTATCAGGACTGTTTGTGAGGGTTGGAAATGTAAAGGTAGACGTTTTATAGCAAGGAGTGGAGTGATTAACTTTTCAGTCTAGGAGCGGAGGTCCCTAGGACCATCAAGGGAGAAGAGCAGAGCGCAGGACCCTACCCAGAGAAGCCGTGATGCCTGAAATGGATCCAGAGATGATGACGTGGAGCATGGAGCAGCTGGAGACTTTAGATCCAGAGTGGGAAAGCGACTGTGTGCTGAAGACCTGGGGGCACGGGGGAAGGATTGCATGGAGGGGATTGTAACCATGGCAATGAGATGATATACTATAGAATGAATGTAAAACTAATGTTCTCCCACATAAGCTATCACATAATTCACAATAAAAACAAAACAAAAAAAACAATGCTGTGTCCAGCTTTCATTTGACTGTTTCTTTTTTCTAATGTTTGTGAATCATGTGACAGTTTACATGGGAGAACATTAGCTTTACATTCATCCTATCGTATATCATTTCATTGCCATGGTTATAATTCCATCCATGCATCATCAACCAACCAAAGGGAATACCCTACAAGCCTTCCCCCCAGTCGTCAGCACACAGCTCCTCTCCCTCTCTGGGTCTAAAGTCCCCAGCTGCTCCATCTCTCCACATCGTTGTCTCTGCCTCCATCTCTGGCATCACTAGTTCTCTGGGTAGGGTCCCACACTCTGCTCTAGACAGTTGAATTTTTTAAAGATCATTTTGTTGTTGTGTGTGCATTGACGTGGTTCCAACTTACAACTATCTTGTTCAGGATTTCTGAGAGTAACTGGTGAGTTTGAACTGCCAACCTTGCAGTTACCGCGATTAGCAGTCTAGTGTTTATCCTACAGTGCAATATCATGGCTCAATGTTGTGTTAAATGTGCTGCCCTTCAGTGACTGGAGTAATTGAGCAAACTGATATCATTGTATGTTCCCTCTTTCCGGTACCATGAGTTTTCATTCATGACATTCTAGAGGCAAGGAATGTTTGCCTACTAAAGAGGAAGACCCCCAACAAAATGGATTGGCCAGGTGGCGGCATCAATGGACTCAAGCGTGGCAACAGTAGTGAGGTTGGCCCAGGATTGGGCTGTGTTTCCTTCTGCTGGGCATAAAGTCACTATGAGGTGGTACCAACTCGATGGCACCTAACAACATACTCTCAACACTAAATGTTAGCAAGCACAATGCTGGGCTCTGGGGATTCAATGATGAACATAATAAACCTAGACTGGACCCCAACTCAACTTCCTGAAGACTGTCTTCAACTGTCCCACCCTCATTTCAAGGCTCACAGAAAACCATACACCTTCTCTGCGAAAGATTTCCACACTATTCTTCCATCCACAGATGTCTGTCCCTTTTCTGAACTATAGCACTTAGTCTATACTATGCCACATGACATTTTTTTTGTAGCATTCTAAAGGAGTCCTGATGGGGCACTGTGGGTTAATGTGCGGGACTACAAGGTTGGTTTGAACTGCAAGGTCAGCAGTTTAAGCTTACCAGCTGCTCCTTGGAAACCCTATACAGAGTCACTGAGTCAGAACCGACTCCACAGCACTTAACAACAACAACAACAACAAAAAAACAATAAAACTGTCCAGAGATTTATCTTGTTAAATTTCAGGTAGAATGTACTCAATTAATCCTAACTCTAAATTCACAGCACACTTTCAGCATGGGTCATACAAGAGACCTCTTATTTATTACAACTTTATAACCACACCCCCAGTTCTTTACCCACCCTAAGCGGCTATTACAATACATACTTATATCCTCGACCTCAAGGTCGGTTTGAACCGCACGTCAGTGGTTCAAATTCACCAGCCATTCATCGAAAACCCTATACAAGGTCGCTATAAGTAGGAACCGACTCAATGGCACTTAACTACAACGTGTTTTGTTCTGTTGTATGCTTGCTTGCACAATGAACACTATTTTCTGCACACATATGCTTAAACATATGTGAACAACAATGTGTTTTATTTCGTTCAATGCTTCTTACTGTCAGTACTCATCGCCAGGGTTCTGGTATATATCCATGTTGTTGTGCATGCTATGTGCACAACTACTATACCCCATGTAGTACCTCCATCACATACCACCTTCCCTGTTTCCAAGCATTAGCCATCGGGTCACTTCCAACTCCCCCAAACCACTATATGCCAGTGATTTTATGTATGTTACTTTAGTTCCAATTAAAATTTGAGCTGCTTGTAGATAAAAATCATGTTTTTCTTTTGTTATATCCTTCTTGAAAAGTTATTCAAGGAGTATTTGCTGACTTTTTCATTGTGGGCTATCTATGTTTCCTGTTGTAAAGTGCTATAAGGTTTAAGGTAAGTTCATTTTGGTAACTAGTCAGGAGTTGCCAATGGAGTCCTCCTGAGCTGTGTTTCATCCTGGCTTTACCCCTTAGGAGCTAACTCTGTGACCTTGGGGAAGTACCACCTTGTTGCTTTGGGTGTTTCCTCCTTCATCTATAAATGGGGATGATATCACCTATCTTATAAGGCTGTTGTTGTTGTTATGTGCCGTCAAGTCGGTTCTGACCCATAGTGACCCTGTACAGGGTTTCCGAGGCTGTAAATCTTTACAGGAGCAGAAAGCCTCCTCTTTCTCCCGCGGAGCAGCTGGTAGTTTCGAACTGCTGACCTTGTGGTTCGCAGCCCGATTCGTAACCACTACGTTACCAGAGCTCCTTATAAGGCTGTTAGGAGGAATAAACTAACTAATACAAAGTACTCCAGTACCACAAATATATGTAACATGTGCTACAAGTCCTACCTACCATTTCAAAACACAGTCATTCATATATTTATCATATATAGCATATAGTTATCAACTCTTCTAAGAGAGCGTATATCTCTCGGAGGAAGGACCATTTCAGAAACCTCTTTGTATGTATGTGTGGATCCGCACTCTGATGGGAAATAGTCCTTACGGGAAATAGTCCATACATTTATATTAAATAAACTATTGTAATACTTTCGTTGGCATTCTGTTGTTCTAGATTTTTAGCATATACACTGTTGTTGTTAAGTGTTGTCAAGTTGATTCTGACTCATTACTGACTCTGTAGAAGGTTTCCAAGGAGCAGCTGGTGGGTTTGAACTGCCAACCTTGTGGTTCACAGTCCAGTGCTGCTCCTATAGCGCCACACCAGGAGTCCAGCATATACACTAGAGTATTTTAAAATACTCTTTTATTCAAGAATATCATATGTGTTAATATCATTATTGCAAGATTTATGGCAATCTTTTATTATTACATTATATGTTGAAAGGAAAGTTACATCTATTAAAAAATAGAATCATAAATTAGTCTTCAGTACAGAAGATCGCTGCTTTCATATTTTTCTTCTCCACTGGCTTGAAAAATGCGAGTGCTCCTTCACTCATGCTTCTTCTTCAAGGGTTTAAAATAAGAGGAATCTGCATCCTGTAACAGAGTAGCAATATGTGAATCAGTCTCTCCTTGTAGTTACTCCAGTTTCAGTAATTCCTTATGTTTGGTGGAGCTATATCATTATGATTCAATGTTGAGAATATTTACAAAACTAGGGAAATGCTTAAGTTAGAATAAAAATCACAACCAAAATTCTAGATCTATAACAACAACAAAATCTTTAACACATTGCTATCGCTCTCTGGTAATAAATATTGATTAGCATCTGCTCAGGTCATTTCTTCAATGCTGAACTCTCTCTTATTACTCTCTGGACCAGGGAGTCTGTGTGGGTGGACCAGTATAAAACCCACAGTGAACTGTCTTAATAAATACAAGAATGTTGTCATTGGTTGATAAGTGCCGTTGAGTCGGTTCTGACTCAGCAACCCTGTATAGTGTTTCCAAGAAGCAGCTAGTAGGTTTGAACTGTCAACCTTGTAGTTAGCAGTCCAGTGCTTATTCTACAGCGCCACAAGAGGGCTACTAGAATAGGTAAGAGTACTTAAAATTAAAATATTAGCTAGGTAATTCTAAAATGACTTGTGAACCTTTACTACAATGTTTGAAGAGTAAGTCAAGACAAGTTGATACTCCTTAAGATGTGACATTTTACTTGGGAGGATGGGTATTTACCATTTCTAAGAATTTGCATTAAGTAAGGGGGGAAATTATGGAAACAAAATTCAGCACTGCTAGTGTTCTTGATCTCTAAAAATAATAAAACTAGTTGCCGTCAACTCAGTCTAACTCATGGCAAGGCCATGTGGGTCAAACTGGTATTCTTCCTCCTAAGGTTTCAATGGTTGTGTTTCAGGAGTAGATGACCAGGTGCCTCTGGATGGGCTCAAATCTCAAACCTTCTGGTTGGCTCCTGAGTGCACTCACCATGTGCATAATCTCGGAAACCCCATACAGTGTCACTCTGAGTCGTTACCAACTCAACAGCATTGAACAGCAACAACAACAATAGGAACCCGAACAACTGCTATATCCACTGCCATCCAGTCAATTCCGACTCACAGCCACCCTATACAAGGTTTCCAAGACGAAATCCTATTGGAGCACACAGCCTCCTCTTTTCCTGCAGAGCATATAGTGGGTTTGCACAGCTGACCCTGCAGTTAGCAGTCCAATGCTGATCCCACAGTGCCACCAAGACTCCTTAACAACTACTATTGTTTGTTGTTAGGTGTTACCAATCAGTTCCTACTCACAACAACCCTATCTAGGGTTTCCAAGAAGCAGCTGGAGGGTTTGAACTGTTGACCTTGAGGTTAACAGTCTACAGTGCCACACCAGGATTCTAAACAACTACTGGACCTACTTGCCCCTTTGAAACAATTTTTTCTAGAATGCCTTCTCTCCATGTCACATGACTGAGGTCTTTGATCTTCACTATTAAATGGCAGTGCTGCCATCAGGATTAAAAAGAAAATAAAGGCATTAAGAGTTAATGCTTAGAAAGCATAACACTCCAAGCTGTTTTAAGAGCTTTCCGTATTTAGTGATATCAACCTGTGAGAGCTGGAACTTCATGAGATTTCTGTTTTTCTGGGTCTTGCGAGTTTTCTGGGTCTTTCTCTGCCTTTGACAGGATGCAGTTTTACCACTTTCCTATAGCTCTCAATGGCAATTCCTACCTATTAATACCCAGTGAGTTTTCCTTCACTGACAAGTTTCTGCCTGATCTGGAGTCCAGCTTTTGCAGGTTTTAGCGTACCAACTTGCTTAACCCCCTACCGTCATTCAGCTCCATTTTATAGATGAGAAAATTGAGTAATAGAGAAGTAACCTGCCTGTGGCTATGAGGTGGATTTGAACATGGGTCTCCATGAGACAGCATCGACTCCACAGCATGAGGGTCCATGTGCTTTCCCAGCATGCCCTGCAACCTCTCCTAGTAAGGGGGTCTTTCCCTCCCAACTCTTGCCCATCACTGGACACAGCTGTCCTCCAAATGTACAACTCAGAAGTAATTGTTGATGAAGTTCTATCTTTAGAACCAGTCCCACACAACCAACTTACACCATTATCAAAACACTTAGAAATGAACTTGTTGTCAAGTGCTGCTGAGTCAGCTCTGACTCATACCAATCCTGTATAAGGTTTCTGAGGGAGCAGCAGGTGGATCTGAACTGCCCACTTTGGGGTTAGCAGTCCAGTGCTGACCCTATAGTGCCACACCAGGCCCCCTGGCCCAAAGTAAACTACTCTATATTACAATTTGGTAAAAAATGAATAGCCCCTTCATGATTTTCATGTTCTGGATGTTTTAGTACACCATGGAACAATTTTATAACCTTTAAAGCTTTTTAAGCATTCTTGGGTTTTTACTTTTTGCTTTTGTTTCTCCTCTAATTCATTTTCAGTCAATTAGCTTAGTCTGTAAACAGCTGGAACAAATTAAAGTTCTAGCAATTAGTAGATTGCTTAGGTAATGGTAGAGTATATAATGTCGTTGTTGTTGTTAAGTGCTGTCAAGTCGGTCCTAACTAATAGTGACCCTGTATAGACTGTCCAAGGAGCAGCTGGTGGTTTCCAACTGCTGACCTTGGGGTTTGCAGTTCAGTACTGATCTTACAGCATCACACCAGGAGTTCAGAGTATATAGTACATATGATATTGTTGTTATTGTTAAATGCTGATGAATCAGTTCCAGCTCATAGCGACCCTGTACAGGGCTTCCAAGGAGCAGCAGATGGATTTGAACCACTGACCTAGCAGTTCAAACCAGCCTTGTGATCCAATGCTTCATCCTACACCACACTAGTACATACATAGGATCCCATATTTACAGTTCTCATATATATTTATTTATTCATATGTATATGTACCAACAACCATTGAAATACTTTAACAATAACAACCATTGGCAGTTATAAATGTTGTCTAATGACAATCTATACATTTTGACTTAACATTAAGTGTTTAGATCTTACATTCTTTTAATGGCTATAGCTGTCTCAGAAATAGTTGATAGTCTCTCCCATCTGCTATTTAGAATGAGGGCTGAAAGAATGAGTACTCTGTGTATTTTCTTGGACGTGGATAGAAGCACATCTTAAAAGCACAGCGAATTTCAGGAACGAGGTCAAAGGGAGCAGAACTACCCAGTGTAAGTGCATCAGTTTGAACCATGCAGTAAATACTTGGACAGAGCTAACCAGGGTTGTTGACATGCACCTGGGGAGAAGCAGAGGCCCAGTATCACCCAAGGGAGGTGACACCTGTGCTGGGACTGGCAGGATGGGTAGGAGTTTGTGGGGGAAGAGAGCATTTGGGACAGGGACTCCCACCTCCCATAGGCTAGAACTGGGAAAGTCTGCAATAGACATCGCAAGTGATAAGAGAGGGACTATGGGCAAAATTCCTGACTAAAGCTGATGTTCTTCTTCCTAAAATTCTAAATGGCTCTGAAGGAAAAATTTAGGGAACACTATTTTAGATACAACAGGAACAGATTTTAGCATGCATTAGTCAAACAATGTGGACACCTGGTGTGGCGCTGCAGGGTAAGCACTGGACTGCAAACCACAAGATCTGAAGTTCATACCCACTAGTTGTTCCTTGGAAACCCTGTATAGGGACCCTCTCTCTGAGGCAGAATCGACTGGATGGCACTTAACAACAGTCAAACGGTAAGTGTAAGGAGAAATCTGCAATCTTAGGAATTCAATCTTTTATTTGCTTTTACCTGGTAGAAAACTTCATTTTCTACAATATAGTACATGAGCAGATATACCTAGGAATCATGTTTTAAAATTTATATCATGAGGTTGACAGAGGGGTAATTAGGAACGTTTTTTAAAAGCACTAGAAAAGTTTGAACTTTGCTGCAAAATTCACAAGGCTTATTAAGAAATGTGTAAATTGGTCTTACCACACCATTCTTAAAATTCTCAATCCTTCTCTTCCCTAACTTGCTGGAGAGCCACAACATGAAGGTCGGCATATATTGGCCCAAATACGTCATTAACAAAAAAGGCTGATCCGAGATCCAAACTTCTTTCAAATCATTGGCCATAGTGATTAATATCAAACGCACACAACGGCTGGTTGCCATCTTGAAGGACTGGTCCCCCTCACAGCCTACGGACTTAGAAAATTAAACAAAGTAAAGCCCAGAATGCTGCATATTTATCCAAGCTGTCTTACAGAGCTTAGAAGCTAGAAATTATACAGAGTCCATTTAATTATGTAGTTCCTTTTGTGGAGTCTCCTGCCCAATCAAGAGTCCCCAGTGGTACTAATGGGGATTTATAAACGATTTGTAATATTCAAGAAACCTAACAGATAACATTTATCAGATAAGATTCTGCTGGCTAAGTAAAAAATGAAGAAAGAGTCTTTGCTTTTATTAAGAACGACATTATTTATTTTAAACTTTTCATTGTGAATTCTCTGAAGGTTTACAGAGATCACCAGCTTTACATTCAACAAACCGTACATTTTGTTTCATCTCAATGATTGCAATCCCTTCCATGCAACAACAGTTATCCCACTTCCTAGAACTGTATCATCTTATTGTGCTTAATGATGTTTTATCATTTTTGTAATAAAAATGTAGAAACAAATTATGAATTCACACATTTAGCAAATGAAATCTCATAAATCCTTGGTCCATGGGGATAAAGTAGAGGAAGAATATAGAAAGTGTTTCTTGGCAGTGGAAAATCTGATTCTACTACTCTGGTTAATCTACTATCATCCTATCAGTAACTAAATTGAGGTCCAAAAAAGCAGTAAGTCATCTGGGCTCACACAGACTACTGGTAGAACTAGATCTAGATTCCAAGTCTCTTAGTTTCAGTTGGGTGTTTTTTTCATTTTACCTTGGAGCCTCTACAGAAAATGTGAAAATATGTATCTGTGAACATTTAATATAGAAGCATATACATAATATACCTAATAAAAATGAATCTTCAAGGAGAAGAAGATTCATGTTCTTCAGAGAGATGCTGTATTATTAAGTGATACTGGACTCTTCTTTATGAGATATTTGCTATTTATTTGCTAGATCACTGTGTATAATCTGTGAGCACAAACTTTGGCATGACTAGCCTAAAATAATCACTGTTCAACAAGGCTTTTTCTAAACTCCTTCTTCAGAATCCCTCTAAAAATCCCCATAAGATTTAGTATACTACAAGTCAGACTCTTTCACTGTTGCTAAAATGTATGAAATGGTAGAAACTGGATGTCTTAAACATTAATAACCCACATGATAGTGGATTACTTATAAGCAACGGTTTAGCAATTTCATTCGCTTTTATTAAAATTGGATGCAACAGCATTCTGCTAACCTTCACAATTTTCATAACATCTTAAGTTTTGTGAATAATTCATAAGAAGTTCTAACATGAATCCTTAAGATGTAATACTATAACACCAATATGTATCTACTAAAGCATTTAAATTGTCTCCCAAACAGAAATCTTTACCTTTCTGACTTCTTCAGTAAAAGCATTCTTCACAATATTTGACTGAACAGGTCCTGGGTAAATGGTAGAAATTGTTATACCTGGGTATGTGGCAAGTTCAGTTCTGAGGCCATTAAAAAAACCCTAAAAGGACAAAAAATCATAATATTTAAAATAAAAAATTATATTAAACACATGTCTTATGTTTCTTATTGGCATGAAATCACTTGAACTTTTTATGAAGGGCAGTAGTGTTGCTGTTAAGTGCTGTTGAGTTGGTGCAAACTCATAGCGACCCTCTAGGGTTTCCAAGGAGGATCTGGTGGGTATGAACCACTGACTTTGGGATTAGCAATCCAGTGATCACCCTAAAGTGCCACACCGGGATTGCATGAAGGACAATAGCAACACATTTATCAAAATATATGCTCTGAAATGTCTGAGTGAAGGCAGGTTTAATTGTGCAAACAGGCTAGACATTTGTAACTTAAGACTGAAGGCAATCTTGAACAGACAATCTCTGCTTTTTCTAGATCTGAATGAAATGCTTTGGAAGTGGCAGCTCCTCACCTCACTGATTTCTGTGGTGGGCAGGAAACGGACAGGTGAAAAACCATACCTGGAGATTCTGATGCATCCTTCTTAACCAAACTCCGTGTCCCCACTCTAAAATAGGTACATGTATAGTCTCCACTGAGAATCAGTGTGGTCAGGTTTATTTTTATCCACCTCAGCGGTCTAAAGAGCCAATGTTTGGGGTACGGAGTGATAAGAAGGGGTTAGTACTTAGTAGAAGTTATCACAGAGAAACAATTCTCTTTTTTCAATTTATTATTTTACTATTTTAACAGGCTGAGTGTCACCAAATGTTATAGATTAAATTGTGCCCCTCCAAAATAATGTGTTATAAATCCTAACCTGTGGTGGTAATCCTATTTGGGAATGGATTTCCTTTGTTTTGTTAAGAGACATTATTAGGGTTGTTGTTGTTGTTGTTAAGTGATAGTGACCCTGTGTAAGATTTCCAGGGAGTGGCTGGTGAGTTTGAACAGCTATGGCTCAAACCGACCTTGAAGTCTAGTGTATTATCTCACAGCACCACACCAGGATTCCTTATTAGGCTAGGGTATGGACTCTTAGTGTGGCTCTGTGGGTTAATGCGCTGGACTGCAAAGTCGTTTTGAACTGTAAGGTCAGCTGCTCCTCAGAAGCTCTATACAGGATCACTATGGGTCAGAGCTGACTCAACAGCATGTAACAACAACATGTCTTAAACTGGAGTCCTGTGTGGTTCTGTAGGCTAAGCACTGGACTGTTAACAGTAAAGACAGTGGCTCAAATGTTCCTCAGACACGCTTTCCAGGGTCACTATGAATCAGAACTGACTCAATGGCATTTAACAACAATAGCATGTCTGAAATCAATCTCTTTTGAGGTGTAACAGAGACACAAAAAGCGAGGGGAGCAGAGATGGGAAGTCACCATGCCACATAAAGACCACCAAGGAGCCAACACATAATGACCGTCCCCCAAAGCTCACAGAGAGAAAGCCTCCCTTCTAGAGCCAGTGCCCTGAATTCAGACTTCTAACTTCCTAAACTCGGAGAAAAGAGCTTTCTGTGTGCTACAGTCACCGACTTGTGGTGTATCTCATATAGATACATTAGCTAACTAAGTTGCCAGACTTTTATCTTTGGGGAATGATAAGAGGGTAGATGAGTAGATAAAAAATGGAATATGACTGCCTTCTGAATGACTTTAGTAAAAACCAGCTTGTTGTTAAGTGCCATCGAGTCGGTTCTGACCCATAGCAACCAGCTAAACTTTCAAAACTAAAGACACAAAGACACTGGCCATTTTATATTCTGTCTAAGATCATTAAAACAGTAGGTAGTACACAGATTCTACTTCTCATCTCTTTTCCTAAATTGGGAAATTTTCCAAGACTCCATTGTTGCCATAAAGCTGGTTTAGCTCCTAAAAAACCTATACACCTTACCCGCAGTGCATTCATATGAGATACAACATTAACCAGATACCAGCCTTTATGCTGCCTCCCTAACACCACAGGGCCTATGAGGAGGGTTCACGCTGTCAGAGCCTGACTCAGCTCACAGATAGACTAAAAAAACAAACAAAACGAAGCTTGCTAAGATGATAGAGGACCATGCAAACCAACACATTGAACAACAAAGCCTCTCTTTTTTTGAAATCACATCTAGTACAGTGTATAAAGAGCTCTGGTAGTGTAGTGGTTACGAGTCGGGCTGCTAATCTCACGGCCAGCATTTCAAAACTACCAGTCATTCTGCGGGAGAAAGATGAGGCTTTCTGCTCCCATAAAGCATGACAGCCTTAGAAACCCTATACAGGGTCACTATGAGTCGGAACCGACTCCACGGCACATAACCACCACCACCACCACCACACTTTTGGAGGAGTCCTGGTGTGGCGCTGTGGGTTAATGTGCTGGGCTGCAAAGTGGTTTGAATCACAGGTCAGTAGTTCAAGTTCACCAGATACTCCTCAGAAACCCTATACATGGTCTCTATGGGTTGGAACTGATTCAACGACACTTAACACCAACAACAATATACTTAAGGAAGGTGCTCTGGTAACATAGTGGTTATGAGTCGGGCTGCTAACCTCAAGCTCAGCAGTTTGAAACTACCAGTAGTTTCGTGGGAGAAAGATAAAGATTTTCTGCTGCCATAAAGATTTACAGCCTTGGAAACTCCATACAGGGTTGCTATGAATCTCAACCGACTCCATGGCACATAACCATCACTACCATACTTATGAAGTATCTGTAACATGGAGTCCTGGTGTGGGGCTGTAGGCTAAGCACTGGACCGAAAGGTCGGTTTGAATAGCAAGATCGGTGGTTTAAACTCACCAGACACTCCTCAGAATCCCTATACAGAGTCGCTATGAGTCAGGACCCATTCAATGGCACTTAACAACATACTTTTCTGGGAAAGAGGGAATGCTCTTCAGAATGAGACTCCTCATATCCATGTTCAGATTCTAGCCTAACTAACTAGTGTCTGAACCTGCCAATTTGCCATGATGCAGTAAGAATGAAGATAAAGTGAAGGGTGATATGTTGGCTAGATTGGATACTTCTTGAGGGCAAGGGCTGTATGTTCTTATCTTTATATAACCCCATGATCCATTACAAAGTCAGAAGTATGTGTGACTCAAGTCTTTTTAAACATCTACTGGAGACACATTCTACCAAAGGTCTCTTCACAACACTGCTCCGTTCCAGTGACCTCATGCAGTGATGGCCAAAGACCTCAGAAGAGTTATACCTGTTTAAATCAGTTCTATCACTGCTGAGTTGAGCAGCCTTACCCGAAGAGCATGCTTGCTGGCACAATAGCCGCTGGCAAGAGGCGCTGACATGACACCCATGAGGCTGTTGATGGTAACAATCTTTCCTTGTTTCCTCTCGATCATGTGAGGCAAAACACATTTTGTCAGGGACACGGTCCCTAGGTAGTTAAGATCCATCAGCTCCTTATAAACATCCAGGTTAGTGTCCAACAATAAAGATCGCTGGGATCGTCCACCATTGTTGACCAGAATGTCGATCTAGTTAGACAGAATTAGAAAAGGAAAGCTTGGGACATAGCTTGAAGAATCAACAGAATCATGGTTTAGGTCCCGAAGTCAGCAATTTAAACAAAAGCAAATAAAAAAGTAATCAACAAAGCTCACTATGGAGTTAAACTCCCATTTTAAGTTACTTTATGCAAGGTAATAAATGTAATAAAATCCAAAGCAAAAGTGAACTTTTAGCTTCCTTTGTACTACATGGAGAAGCTTGTTAGGGTATGAATGGAATCCTGCTGTGAGATTGTAAGATAAGCATTGGACTGCTAACTGCAAGGCTGGTGGCTCAAACCCACCAACTGCTCCTCAGAAGCCCAATACAGGATCACTATGAATTGGAACTGACTTGATGGCATTTAACAACAACAACAACAAAGGATATGAAAGGAGTCCTGACATAGTGCTGTAGGATAAGCATTGGACTGCTAACCACAAGGTTGGTGGTTCAAACTCACCAGTTGCTCCTTGGAAACTCTATGCAAGGTCGCTAAGAGTCAGAACTCATTGGCACTTCACAATGGTAAGAAAAGTACTCATTACCAAAGTAAAAAACTCACAGAGATTAAAAGCCTCAGTTTATGGGCCAACTCTTACTACATGGTCCCACTTGCCTGTTGTTGTTAAGTGCTATCGAGTTGGTTCTGACCCATAGCGACCCTGTATAGGGTTTCCAAGGAGATCCTGGTGAGCTTGAACCGCCAACCTTGCAGTTCAAACAGCTCTGCAGTCTGGCGCATTAACCCACAGTGCCACACCAGGACTCCCCACTTGCCTAGAACCCCTGTAATGAGAACTCCATGTATGGGAACCTCTTCAAAGCAAGACCATGTCAATTCCGATGCTACTTACTTTACCAAACTCCTGGAGAACAGCTTTGGTAGCCACTTCATGAGAATTTGTGTTGGTCAGGTCAAGGGGTAAAACAAGGATGTCTTTTTCTTTTAAATTGTCATTCTCTAAACAAAGATATTTAAAAATTAGTGTGAAAGCTATGCCACCGTCCAATCAAGCTCCTTGCTACTGGAATTGTTATTTAACAAGAACTGTCAACTCTAATAACTAGGGGGACCCCTGAGATAATGGCCCTTAGTCTTCCTTAGATCTAGACCTGAACTTACCCCCTTAGCTATACTTTCAGCCTAACAATAATCAAGTACATCAAGGGAACAATAACCGTAGGGCTGTACACACTCCTTAGGATCATCAACTATTTGAGAACAAAGGACAGCATGCACCCAAGGGCAGTGTTCAGAAGAGTTGAGAAAGAAGGAGGAATGAAAATGGAAAAAATAAGGAGGCCATAAGTCATGTTACACTCTGGGATTGCAATCAGTGACCTGAGATAAATGAATTGCACTCTAAGCCTTCACCCAATTCACAACAAAAAGCAAAAAAAAAAAAAAAAAAGGCAACAAATTCATTGCTGGGTAGCCCTGAGGAAGTTTTTCACTCAGTGACTGGTGGTAACATGGTAAATGTATCGGACAAAAACTTGACGGGGTTCACAGGAAGCGGAATGATTCATTTGAACTTGAAAACAGACAGTCTAACTTTAGAATGGATTCTGTAGAAACTGAGTTTGTACTAGAATAAGTTCTTTAGAAGTACAGAAGTACATTTTGTTTTGTAACCAATTAGTTGCTCTTTTATACACATTCCTTTGTTTTTTATTTTGTTTTTCTTTTTTTGGCTTTAACAACCATAATTTTTTTCTCTCTTACAGCTAAGGAAGCTAGAAATCCAAATTCAGAGTGCTTGTCTGGGGAAAGGGCCTCGTCTCATTTCAGCATCTGTAGCCCCAGTATTCCTTGGAGATCTCCATATACTTTGACTTCACAGTGCAGGGACTCCAGGTTCAAAGGGCACATTCCACTCCTGGCTCTTCTATCTTGCTGGCAGCAGCTCCCTCATTCCTTTTTAACTACCCTTACGAAGAAGATCAGAGCTAAACAATAGTACAAGCTTCCCTCCAGAGGTAAGATTCCAGTAGGCGAGCAAAGAAAAGGATACAATCCTGGAATTCAAAAATCAAAAGACACATTGAGCTGTAACTTTTTTATTTCTGTCCATCAAAAGAACAATTGAGACTCTAGATTCACGGAAAGAGAGGGACTAAGAGCTGGCAGCCAGGAGGCAGAATATGCCCTTTGGTGGTTTAAATGATTACATATGCCTGAGTGCTTTAAAAAAAAAAAAAAAAAGGAGCTAAAATGAATAGAGAGAAATACTGTTTGTTAACTGATGGTACATGGAGGGGATTATAACCATTATAATGAAACAAAGAATATGATTTGTTGAATGTAAAACTGATGATCAGCCCTGTAAACTTTCACTCAATTCACAATAAAAACTCAAATAAATAAATAAATAAATAAATAGAAAATAAATAAATAGGTATCTCTAAAAAAAGAAAAAAGAACAGCTGAAACTAATCTTCTTCACCTCCAACCTTGAAATACAAGTAATACCAATAAGAAAATCAAAGAAAGGAGAGAAAAATAAGAGGGAGGTATAAAGGCATTGTGGACACTTGAGTAGATTGAAAAACATCAAATGTATTAAAAGAAATGAAAAAGTGTGCACCAATGAGCTGAGAGATGAAAAGAACACAACCGGCTTTGTTCCAGCTAAGAGAGGTGGATATGGTTCATCTCCTCTGCCAGGGTGGGGTTTGCCCCTCACAGCAGTAGAAAAGCACCTACCCATAAAAAGTGGCCCCAGCGTACAATAACACAAGAGGCCTTTGAAAGAAGTATCACGAAAGAGGTGTTGTGGTCTTACTGAGTGATTCATTTGGCCACTAACTCTCATTTTGGAGCGGTTAGCTCATTCAGCAAAATTAAAGATTTTAAAAGGATGACAGGTAACCAGATGATCAAAAATGATGTGCTGAAAAATTCAAGATGATCTCATTTTAGGTACTAAATGTCCCAATGACAAATAAATGATATGACTTAAGGCTACTTTCAATGTGAACATAACTACACGAAACACACACAAACAAAACATTAATATTGTTGCCCTATATGCAAATGACAGGTATTAAACATGTTGTATTTTTTTTATACCTAATTCCATTTCTGTTCTTTTTTCCTTTAAAAATCATCCTATTGTCCCATGTGATTTTAATAATTGACATTTTTACCCAAATGAGTAAGAATCCTTTCTAATTAAGTTTTATGGTGACATACATCCATGCTGTGATGGCTAAGATTTATGTATCAACTTGGCTGGGCCCTGATTCTCGGTGCTTTGGCTGCTAGGTAATCATCCCCCAGGATGTGGTCAGTCAGTCAGTTGTACGGGATTAGGGTGACATGTAGCACCTTTACTAAGTCACAGTCCTGATCCAATGTAAGGGGAGTTTCCCTGAGGTGTGGCCTATATCACCTTATGTTACAAGAGACAAAAGGAGAGAGAGGCAAGAGAAGGCGGGACCTGGCTATTTAACAAGAAGAGCTGGCAGCAGAAAAAAAAAATGCACGTGAAAAAAGTCCAGGTGAAAATGGCACACAGAAAAAAACTCACTGTCGTAAAAACACACAAGAAAATTGCACAGACAGAAAAATGCCTACACGGAAAAATGCCTGCCCATAGAAATGCTCTCCTGTAAAAGGCAGAGGCACTTTTTGGGTTGAAGTTAGCTTTCGGGTTAAGGCTTGGGTTAGGGTTTGGGTTCGTTTATTAGTTTATCATATTGTGAACGCAAGAATTGTTCTATGTGCATATTTTTCCATGTGGGCATTTTTCTGGTGCACATTTATGAGAGTGGAGTATTTTCCTGTGTGCAGTTTTTGTGTCGGCTTTTTTTCACAGAACTGGAGCAAGTTTGTTGGACACAGGTTCCCTGTGCTGAGAACTTAGACCCAGAGGAAAACTGATGTCAAGATACATGTGGATTTCCCAGGAACACCGGACCCACAGATGTTAAAAGGAGATAAAGGATCTTCCCTTAGAGCCAACACACAGAGAAACTTCACTTCAAGCTGACACCTTGCATTCGGACATCTAGCCTCCTAAACTGTGAGAAAATAAATTTCTGTTTGTTAAAGCCAAGCACTTGTGGTATTGCTGTTATAGCAACATTAGATCAGCTAAAACACAGCTATGTGTAAGAACCAGACTGTTCTTTCTCTCAGATGAAATGTGAGTCACCAGGCCACTCAAAATCCACCAGAATTTGGGAGAACTGGAAGTCATTCTCCAGGGCAACCAAGTAGAAAAGCAGCAGGAAAACAGAAGACAGGGGAAGGGCAGCTGGTAATTCAGATAGCCAAAGAAAGAACATTTCAGTCAAAGCACTTGGAAGGTTAAGAGCTGAGGAGTTCTGTCCCCAAAACCCCAAAATTCCAAACACTGAATTTGAGTTTGGATTCTGAATACCTAAGATCGATTTCTAGGATGTACTACTCTTGTTTTAATTGACTTACCAAGGCATTTTCTCTTCACCCTTTCCAGTTCGTTCGCTCTTCTGGCTGAGAGCACCAGAGAAACTCCTAGTTTCGACAGCTGGTAAGCCAGCTCCTCTCCAATCCCACTGGATGCTCCAGTAACCCACACCACCATATCAGTCAGCTCCCATTCTACAGAGAAAGGAGAGAAGAGTAAGATGAAAAAGTCAACTACAGACTATACCTATCAAAGATGGTGGGGGTATTTTAAAAAACATCATTAAACACGATATAATGTGTGGATCTTAAACAAGTCCTAAGGCAGTATCTCCTACCTAATAAAAAAAGATTGTAAACACAAGTAATGTTTGTAACAGTTATCATCAATACATTGGTTTTTATGTCCAAACTCTTGGCCTTCAATGTCTACCAACTAGCACCCAAGAGTAGCAGTTTTGCTTTCTGGAATCAGAGTGAATAAACAATCCCTCTCTTCCCAGGATAATTCCAGGTGTATTTCAAGACAGCTGTCAAATCCTCCCTAAATCCTTTCATCTCTTGCGTACTGAGGCTTAATGGTGGCTGTGGTGGTAGTCTGCCTTTGAGTCGGTTCTGACTCATAGCAAACCTATATATAGGGTTTCCAAGGCTGTGAATCTTTACAGGAGCAGAAAGCCTCATCTTTCCCTCTCTGAGTGGCTGGTGGATTTGAACTGCTGACCTTGTGGTTTGTAGCCCAACTCATAATCCACTATGTTGCCAGGGCTCCCTGGGGCTATATTGATTGTTCTGTTGTTAAGTGTCATTGAGTTGGTTCGGGCCCATAGTGAGCTGTAAAGAGCAGCTGGTGAGCTTGAACTATCAACCTTGCAGTTCAAACAAACTTTGCAGTCCAGAGCATTAACCACAGTGCCACACCAGGACTCCATAAGCATCTCCAATTTTGCTACATTCCCTCCTGTGATAGGGCATCAAGTTTCCTCACTATTCTGCTCCCGCCTTTTGGTACACACTCTTGTTCTTGTTGTTAAGTGCCTTGGAGTCGATTCCGACCCACAGCAACAGGAGCAGCAGGTGAGCTTGAACCACCGATCATGTGGTTCAAAGTGACTTTACAGTCCAGCGCATTAACCCACAGTGCCACACCAGGACTCCAGCACACACTCTAGTTGGTCAGTATTCTCAGCGAAGGGAACTGGCCAGAGTAGGAGGACCCAGGATTCCACGGGGTCTGGACAATACACAGGAGATGAGATGATTCAATCCCCTCCTTTGTCCTCCAGAGGGTAGGCTCATGAAGGACCAGTGTCTCCAGTACCCGGCACATATAAACAAGCACTCATAAGACAGCTGCTGTTTGCAGCTGTTGCTTCAGACACTGTTGTTAAGTGCCATCGAGTCAGTTCCAAGCTATAGCGACCCTGTCTAGGGTCTCCAAGGAGCAGATGGTGAGCTTGAACTGCCAATATTGCAGTTCAAACGGAGCTTGCAGTCAAGCATATTAACCCACAGCGCCACACAGGCACTAAACATCTACAAATGCAGCCCAGCTTGCCTCATCTTTTCTTGGCAGCCACTTCCCTTATTAACTCATATCAAGGTTACTGTAAACTAAACCCGGAATTTTTCTCACATGTGCAGTTGTTAAGAATGTTTTCTTAACCTGGATTTGTGCCATGGATTTTTCTGGATCTAAGTCTCATATCTAAAATTGTTGTTGTTAAATGTCATGGAGTTGGTTCCAACTCATAGCAACCCTATACAAGGTTTCCGAGGAGCAGGCTGGTGGGTTTGAACTGCTAACCTTAATTGTTGTTGTTATTGTTAAGTGCCATTGAGTCACTTCTGACCCATAGAGACCCTGTGCAGGGTTTTCAAGGAGCAGCTGATGAGCTTGAACTGCCGATCTTGCAGCTCAAACTGACTTTGCAGTCCAGCGCATTAATCCACAACACCACACCACCCTTAAATTTAAACATATGAAATAGATGCTTGAACTGCAGTTGATTTCTCTAGAAGGAGAGAGCTGGGTGGGTTCAAACCACCAACCTTTAGGTTAGCAGCTGATTGCAAAGCACTTGTACCACTCAGGGACCCTACTAGGATCTACAAAAGACAGGCAATAGTATCTACCTCCAGAAAGACAAAGGACCAAGGGTAGGAGAAAACTTCACTCTTCACTGTGCATCTTTTTGTACTTTCAAAATTTTATGTTACATGTTATCTATTTTTTGAAGTGACAAAAAGGTATAAACTTAAAAAGAAGTCCAGGAGGATATATATATTTTTTTCACTTTGATAGAGTTGGCCCAACTTTCTTGTCAAACTCTACATTCCCTAAACCTGTTTTTTCATCATTTCCCCCACAACCAAGGGTCATTTTTTAGGCACCTTTTTCCTAAAAGCTCCTCCATGAAATTTTAGTATCCCAGACACACCTGGGGTAGTATACCTGTTTATGTACTGTACAAGTCTCTGTGCTTTATACCTTAAAGGAATATGTATAAAGCTTAGCCTTTTCATTCAAACCAGGTTTAAGAAAGGCCAAATTAAAAAATTAAGGTAAAGGTTAAATGAAAAATGTTTAATTATTAACATTCAACTTTCTGCATCTCCTAAGGAACTTTTAACGTAATTTATTTATGTAAATTGTTGTTGCTGCGTGCTGTGGAGTTGGTTCTGACTCATAGCAACCCAAGGTTTCCAAGGAGCAGCTGGTGAGTTTGAACCACCAACCTTGTGGTTAACAGTCCAATACTTTTCCTATAGCACCACATCAGGACTTCAACTAGAAAGTATTAAATTACATATGTTGTTGTTAATTGCCAGTGAGTTGGTTCCAACTCATAGTGACCCTATAGGGTTTCTGAAGAGCAGCTGATGAGCTTGAATCACTGGCCTTGAGGTTCAAACCAACTTGCAATCCAGTGCATTAACCCACAGTGCATACAAACTAACAATCTGTGGCTCTGTCAGGTAAGCACTAGACTGTGAACCATAAGATTGGCAGTTCAAATCCACTTGCTGCTCCTCAGAAACCCTACACAGGGTCTCTATGAGTTGGAACCAACTCTATAGCACTTAACAACAAAACAATACAATGGCAATATAATAATTTTTTAAAATATTCAAACTTATTTTTCAGCAAAATTAAAACTATGAAAAAGTGAAATAATTCCTTAAAAATCATTCTGAGATATTTTAACTTGTAAATTTTGCTTGATATGAGAAAACAACATTTAACTTAACTATTGGTTAAAAGGGAGTCCTGGTGTGGCACTGCAGGATAAACACTGGACTGCTGACAGTAAGGTCAACGTTTCCAAGTTGCTCCTTACAAACCTTATACAGGATCAGTATGATTTAAAACCAACTTGACTTTTCCCTTTCAACACTTAACATAATTAACGATGGTGGAATAACTTTTATAAAATTAAATAATAAAATGTAAGCTATCTTTACTTAATTCCCAAAGTCCAAGTTCACACAAAAGCACTGAGGTTCAAACATAAACAACATCCACAAGTTAGCCAATGGCAGCCAAGAGGCACCTCGTGCCCACCTTGAGAGCTGATTTCCAGATGGAGAATAAATGGAAAGAAAATCCACTAATCACGGCCATCTATATGCTATAGTTTGGTAGCCCTGATCTTTTCTTTTCATACATAGTGTTTCTTCCACAAAATCATCAATGTCAGTGTTGCTCATGTATATGAAACCCACGCAAACCCAAAGAGAAATGAAATTAAATACTAAGAAATAAGATTTTGTTAAGTGGGGCTGAGCTTTGGAGGGATACTAATCATAGGAACATCTAAGATTTTTTCAGTCCCAAGCACCAATTTTCAGCTCTCTGGACATGATATCCAGCACGTAAACTCCTCCCACTCTCTCTGACTGTTAGAAAGTACCATATATTATCTGAGCTAATAGCTACCACTTTCAATAAACGTCATCAAATGCTATAAGTTTTTTCATACCAAAAATAAAAAAAACTTTGATCCAGGGAAAGCCACTTGCCTCCCCATCTCTACCTCCCCATCCCGCCCCCCATTCAAGTCCCTAAGGGTCGAAAGCCAGGTGGGGCAGGTTATTTTATTTCTCCGATCATCAGTTTCTTTTATCTGGAAATTAAGGTTAACTAGGCCTGCTTTGTGAAGTTGTAAATACCAGAAGTCCTGTGTGTAAAGTACCAAGCATATAGGAACGGGATTCAAAAAGTTGGTGGAAAAATTTCACCATCTTTTCATATTCTTCCACAAACTCTTTGAAGCCCCTTCGTAGAATGCGTTTAATATCAAACAAGGGACACATCAAAGGAAAGGCATGATGTCCATTGGTATGACAAAAATGATCTCACTCCAGGCAAAATTCTGGTTTTTTTCCCGCCCTACTGTTCTACTTTAAACTCCAGTATGTACGTAGGTGGTTGGCTCTGGAGTCTCAGGTTTTGTTCCAAAACTCCAGAAGAGTGAAAAGTACAGGGTAAACAACTTCAGGAAGTGGAGAAACTGAGCTTTCCGATTCTCACAAAGGAGATTTCCTTAATACCACACGTTGTTTCTCTGGCACCAACGCTCTCTTAAACAGTTTGGAAGCACTGAAAGGCCATATTCCGATCAGGAGAGAAGACAAAGGGGCAGAAAGCCTCCTTCACCCGCTTGTCTTCCTCCCCCGCCCCAGCCCGCAGCCTCCGAAAAGCGCAGCCTCCTCGTCGCGAGGCTCTACGCCACCCGGAGGCGCGGCCCGCCCTGGCCGCTTACAGCCCGGCCTCTGATTCCGGAGGGGCCGCGGTGGGGGCTCACCTGGCCGTCGCCCCTGCCATTCGGCCCACATTAAGCTCAGGTCGCCGTCCGCCCGCAGGAAGCGCAACAGCTGCACCACGAGCAGAAGCAGCGCAAACACCGCCAGCAGCAGCCCCCAAGTCATGGTGAAAGCCCTGGCGCGGCCCCACCAAACTACTGGCCGAACCCAGCTAAGCCACTGCCGGCAGGGATCACAGCCGGGTCTCGGGCGGTGCCACCCCGGCTCCGCCCAGAATGCGGGCGGAAAAGGGGGAGGTCTGGACGCGCCCTGAGCCAAAGTCGTCTGCGAGTGCGGCAACCTGGGAAATCGCTGCAACTGTTTAGCTTGAATGTTGTTAAGTGACCGATAGCGACCCTGTGTAGGGTTTCTAAGGACCAGCAGCTGGTGGATTTGAACCATAAACCTTGTATTTAGCAGACTAGTGCTGATTCTAAGTGTCATACCAAGACGCCTAAAAAGCGATGTGGCCCTGTAGAATAAGCACTGGATTGCCAACTACAAAGTCAGTGGTTCTAGCCCACCAGCGGCTCAGTGGGAGAGAGATGAGACTTTCTGCTCCCACAAAGATCCACAGCCTCGGAAACCCTATACGGAGTCGCTATGAATGAGAACCAGAACTTAACACAAACAGCAACCATTGAGAAGAAAGCAAAAGTTCATTAATACGACAGAAAAAAAAGACCAAAGTGGACATCAGAAGAGAATCTGAAACTTGCTCTTGACCGTAGAGGAGCTAAAGAAACGAACTGGAAGAAATGACGAAGCAAAAGAGCTGAACAGAAAATTTCAAAGGACCGCTCGAGAAGACAGTCAAATATAACGAAACGTGCAAAGACCTGAGTTAGAAATCCAAAAGGGAAGAATATGCTTAGCATTTTTCAAGCTAAAAGAACTGAAGAAAAAATTCAAGCATCAGGTTGCAAAATTGAAAGGTCCTGTTGTCAAAATGGGGGACCCTGGTGTTGTTGTTAAAGTGTTGTCGAGTCGGTTCCGACCCATAGCGACCCTGAATAGGGTTTCCGAGTCTAAATCTTTACGGGAGCAGAAAGCCTCATCTTTCTCCCGCGGAACTGCTGGTGCAGTGTATGTTTTAACCGCAGGGTAACCAATCCATTCAATTGCTTTAAAATAAATAAATAAAAAACCTCCATGTAATTAACCCAATCCCTAAATTGAGTTGACTTCCATCAACTAAAGTTTAGAAATGACATTGCAAATGGCACTTGCCTATTGCTGAAAGAGAAAGTGCTGCTCCCAGAATGGTTTTAAGTAAACTATCAGAGCTGCACCCAACCAGGCTAAAGTCAGCGTCCTCCTCTGCAACCCCAAGTAAATAATTCCTTTATCTGTATCTGTACCATACCCATATGTAGGTTGGTGCCTCTGCAGGATGAACAACGGACTCTGAACCATAAGGCTGACAGTTCCAGCACACCAGACACTGCACATGAAAGAGATGAGGCTGCTCACACAAAGGTGTTGTTGTTGTTGTTGTTAAGTGCCGTCGAGTCGGTTTCGACCCATAGCGACCCTGAACAGGGTTTCCGAGGCTGTAAATCTTTACGGGAGCAGATCGCCTCATCTTTCTCCCGCGGAGCAGCTGGTAGTTTCGAACTGCGGACCTTGCAGTTCGCAGCCCGATTCGTAACCACTACGCTACCAGAGCTCCTTACACAAAGGTGTACAGCCTTGGAAACCCTATGGGGTTGCTATGAGTTGGAACTGACTTGACAGTACATAACAACAACATCGATGACTATAAACAATATCTTGTTGTTAGTGGCCATCGAGCTCGTCCACTCTCAGTGACCCTAAGGATAACAAAACTTTGTTGGGTACTATGCAAGGTTGGTGGTTCAAGCTCACCAGCTACTCCTCGGAAACCCTATACAGGGTCGCTTTGGGTTGGAACCGACTCGATGGCACTTAACAACAACAACAAAATGCCACCCTCATGGGGTCCTGGTATGGTGCTGTGGATTGATGTGCTGGACTGCAAAGTCGCTTTGAACTGCAAGGTCAGTGGTTCAAGCTCACCAGCTGATCCTCAGAAACCCTATACAGGGGTACTACAGATCGGAACCAACTTGATGGCACTTAACAACAACAACAAACTACATTATGAGTTAGTGTTGTTTCCATGGTAGTTGTCATTTCTTCCTAGAAACAACAACTTCTGAGGCTGGCTTTTTTTCATGGGTAAGTAGAACAAATGAAGTTAATTTTGCACTGAGAAGATATTAGTTATAATAAAATGTCTATCTTATTACAGTAACTTGTTTTTTAAATATGTTATTGAATTACACAAAGACTCATTTCTCTAGTCAGGTAAAATGAAATTGCTTATGTTGAAGGTTATATACTAATTTTTTTCTTTTTCCAATGTAAGATTGCTGATGTGGTGAAATGACTGATTTTATGATGTTGTTGTCAAATACCGTCAAGTTGCTTCCAACTTATAGCAACCCTGTTTTCAAGGAGCAGCTGGTGAATTTGAACAACTGACCTTTCAGTTCAAACCAACTTTATGGTCCAGTACTGAACTGACCAAGATCCAAGAGCTGAACAGAAAATTGTTCTGAGATCCAAGAGCTGAACAGAAAATTTCAAAGATCAGCTCGTGAAGATAAAGCCAAATACTATAATAAAATATGCAAAGATTTAGAGTTAGAAAACCAAAAGGGAAGAACACGGTCAG